CGCACCCCGCTCGCGAGCAAACAGCCGCGCGGGGGCACCGCGGGCGCGCCGGCAGCCCCGTGCACGGTCCCACGCGAAGCTCCCAGACGGACACACACGCACGCACACGCACACACATGCACGCACGACTGCCTCGGGGAAGTTCCAGGATCCGATTTGAATGGCTGCCCGGCCCTCCCCCGCTGGCACCCCCCTGCCTGCCGAGGGGAGCAGAAGGGGCCAGCCTGTTCCTATTAAAAGAAAAGGGGGATGGGGCGGTGCGGAGTTTTTGGAGGTTTTCCTTTTTTAAGGAAATGTCTCAGGGGATTTCCTTCCCTCCGCTCCTCTTCCTCTCTTCCTCCCATTCCTCTGCCTCCACACCCCCTTCCCCCTCCCGGTCCCTATGAGTCAAACTTCAGCAATGTGCCCAGTGTCCCCCAGTGCATTACGGCGGATCACAGAAATGTTCCAGTCTGTGAGTCGGAATGCAGCCGCCTCCAGCCCTCCCTCAGCTAATAAACTCGGTGCAGGGATGGCTCCGCGCGCGCACGCACCGCTTTAGGCTGGAGAGGTCAGATTCAGGGGTCAGGGGCTGAGGACCTCCCCATTGTGCTCCTGGCCTGGGCCATCGGCCGGTCGGCCTCCCGCAGTCTGCTGGGTCAGAAAGCTCCCGGGACTTGGGGAGGTCTCTGACCCCGGAGCACTGGGTTCGCCTGCAGTGTGAGGTCCATTGGACACCAGCGAACAGCTTCCTTCCGAGCCCATCCTACTCCCTCAATTCTAGGAACCCCCACAGTCTCTACAGGGGGAAAACTGAGGCAGACCCCGGTTAGAAGCGAGAGTCCACAGGGGCGCAGAAGGGCTCGGCCATGCTGAAGGTGAACTTCTGACCACAGATTTCTCGTTCCCGGCGTGGGGGCTCAGGCCGGGCCGCCCCTCGCTACCTGTAATACTTGGCTGGCACAGGGCTTCCTCTTTTATTCCTTTCCTGTGCCGGAGCTCACTGAGCAGTGGATGGAATCACTCTGTATTTGCTAGCTGGCCCTCACAAACTCCTCTCCCAGCCTCCAAGCCCTCCTGCACACATCCCTGCCCAGGGTCTGGGGTACTTACTGCCCGGTGATGTCTGTTGCTGATGTTACTACTGTTATTCCAGCCAGACTGGACAGCTAGCTGCTTCCCATCACGTCCGTCCGTGCCCTACGTTCCCACCCTTGCCCTGGTCCTCTCCTTCCCTCCGAAATGAATGCCTCCCAGGCTCCTGCCACAGCCAGAGGGCTGCTTTCCTTCCTGGGCAGGACCCTGTTGGTCTTTCTCTTCGCCGACCTTCACCACCTGGTCTGCCCTCTTCCTTTTTCCTCAGCAACGTTCAAGAATGGATGCCCAGCTTGAGTGCTCCAGCCGTGGTCTAGCTATGCCTGCACCACGGCTGTGTTTCTTGTAGTGTATCGCGCAAGATTCAGGCTGAGTTCAGGTGAGATAGAGTGCGTGGCCTTCCAGGACCAGCCTCCAGCTGAACACCTCAGTGTACCCTTCTGCCCCGTGACTACCCATGTGACTCTGAAGATGCCCGCTCTGTCAGCCCAGGTATGTTGCCCCAGCCCTCCCCTTCAGGCCAAAATCATCCTCCTTCCAAAACCCTCCTGAGGCTCACGGCCTCTAGAAAAACTGCTGCTACAGCAGACCCCAGCTTCCTGCTGTCCCCCTCATGAAGTCCCACAGTGCCCGCCCCTCCGCCCACTTCTAGCTTTGCTTGTAGCTATTTCTGTTCTGAAGTCAGGCCTCTGCTACCAGGTGCATCATTCATATATTTGTTTGCCTTTTCTTTTTAACCTGATCGCTGACTTCTGAATGATCTGAGCAGAGCCTGACTATCCCCATAGTACCCAACATGGGACTCACTGTCCCCAAAATATAGGTAGAGGGGAAGACGGCATGTGTGACCTGCCTCTGGGATGCTGGGCTGTGCCCGTCTGTCCCCTGCTAGATTCATTTACAATTCCACCAAGCCCTGCTCTGTGGTGGAGTCTTAAGCCAGTTTTTAAATCTTAGGTTCCCTGCTGTGTTAGAGAACCTCCAGGAGCCCTTAGAGGCTTGAGAGAGAAAACTGCAGGCTGCCTCTCTCCCTTCTCCCCTGGTTACCAAGGGAAAGTCAGGAAAGCCTTCCAAATCTGGGTCTCACGGCCTTTTCAGCTAAACACCTGGCACAGGGGCTGGCCCCAGAGAACCTACCTGGGCTTCCTCAAGTCTCCCGGAGGTCTTTGGCTAGTACAAAGCTCCTCTTTGGGGCTCTGGACCTACTCGACCTTCTCTTTCTTTCCTTAGTCTTTTGCCAGTTGTTTACCATGTAGCAGCCTATGCTAGCTCCTGGACAAACATTAGATCATTTATTCTTAACAATAATCTTTGTTGTGCTCATGAATAAAGTATAGACCATGAAGATGAAGAAACCTGATCAAAGTTGCACAACGAGCAACTTACAAGGGCCATTCATTCACTCCATGAATATTATTGGTTCATTAAATTCATTCATTCCATGAATATTTATTGTTGCTGATTTCACTGCCTACTTTGTGCCAGGATTCAAAGTTCCAGAAAGTCGTCAAGTCTAAATCTCAGAACTCTGAGGCCTCTCCTGGCCCAGCCTTTTGGATGTGGTGGCTGCAGTCTCCCCAGTCCTCTCGAAGTCTGCACTTATCTGACGTACTCCCCACGAGGCCTCGGGATGTGTTGCTCCCCAAGGCCTCTGCGAGGGAGGGCAGAGTGGACAGCCACTGCTCAGGACTGAGTCAGGCCTTGTGCCGCAGTTTCTGGACCTGGGATCTAATCCCAGTTCATAGAGTTTTGGCCTTACAGATTAGTAGGAGAGGTCAGGTCTCCAGTGCCAAATAAAGAGTTTCATGGCACCAGACATTAGAAGTAGAAGGAAGTAAGTAGAGGAGAGAGGGAGGGGTGGGGAGAGGGAGGAAAAATAATTTAGGATTTGTTGAGTGTCTCCTATGCATCATGTGCTGTTCAAGGCCTTTTCACTTATATGTTGTTATTACTCCCATTGTTTTAGCGAGCAAACTAACGTTCAGAAAGATAAAATGATTTGCTCAAGGCCACAGAGCGGTAAGTGACTTGATCCCAAGTGTGTCTGACTCAGGGCCCATGTAATTTCTCCTACCAGAACAGAACAATGGAGAAGCCGTGCCAGGGCCTCCTGCTCCAGTGTAGCCTGGCTTCTTGAAGTCCCTGTTGATATATGCGTGTCACTGTAGACGGCGCGTTTCCTGCCTCATTGACCCCAGGCCCGTGGCCCCATCGTCATGCCTCTGTTGCCTTGCATAGGCAGGATCCAGGAACCGCGTGAGTGTTCTGTGTGTGCTTGAGACGTAGCTTTGGGGCGCATGCAGAAGGGCAGATGCCCTTTTAGGAGTTCAGGGTCTGACACGAGGGGTGCACGTGCTCCTGTGCATAGCTGAATGGATGCCCCAGGAAAATGCCGCGGGACCGGACGGCACAGCTTGGGAGGGGAGATGACCCTGGGGACTGAGGCAGGTGGAGAACCAAGCAGGTCCCTCCCCTGGCCCCTCACCTCCCTCCAGAGTCAACAAAGGTGATGCGGTTTCCCCTGTGGTCTGTTGCCCTAGACACCTGCAGTTCTAAGTAGATGGGTATGTGCCTCTGTGCCAGCAGTGTGGTGGGGAGACCCAGGGAGAGAGGATGGGGAGGGGCAGGAAGCCAAAGACAGAGTCCCCTGAACCCTAGGATGGAGCAGGTACAACCAGTGAGAAAGATGTCAGAGGATACCGCCTCCCCAGTCCAGCTCCCCAGTGAGGAGTGCAGACAGAGAGGTGGAAGAGGAGCATTGTGGGTATTGACGCTGGGCCTGAGGTCGGGGAACAGGAGTTCTAGGCCCAGTTCTGCCAAACTTCCTGGACTCTACCTTTTTCTTTTCCCTGTTTCCAATGCTAGGGGTTAAGCCCAGGGCCTTCCCACTGAAGTAGATCTCCAGCCCCTTTCATTTTGAGATAGGGTCTCACTAAGTTGCCCAGGCCGGGCTCAAACTCTTGATCCTCCCCCTTTAGCTCCCAGAGTGCTGGGGTTACAGGTGCGCACCACAACGCCCGGCTCTGGATCAGACCTTTCCAGTTCTCCATTTTGTAATAGAAATATTTTGGCTGTTCTGAAGTCATACAAATAATATATGTAAAGGTTTGCACCACAGCTTTGTATTCTGTTTTGTTTTTAACATCCCTTGGACTCTTGAAAGAAGTATCACTGTGAGTTTTAAAATCTTTGTCCTGATAGCATATGAAATATAGCAATTTCTCACTCTTGCTCCTGGGCAGGCAACACCACACACACACACACACACACATATATCAGTATGTGGACCTTAAAGATGAAAACAAAAACACAGCCCCTGCCCTCATATTGATCACAATGTGTGCAAGAAACCAAACAAACGCACGCTATACTTGAAAGCCTCTTACAAAGCCAACTATTTTAAACAACTCCCAATCTGTGTGATATTGGCCAAGTCACAGCCTCTCTAAAAGCCTCAGTTTTTTCATCTCCTACACAGGGAGGCTGGTTTAGATCATTGCTGCTTATTTCTTCTGAGTGCAAAGCTGTTTTCTAGCTCTGCTGTTCCAGGAGTGAGTGCGTACATGGCGGAGGAGGGGCTGGAGCAGACGCAGTTGGACGGCCTGGATGCGGCAGTGTCAGAGGCTTTTGAAGGAGCCCAGCCCGTGAATCAGTGCGGAGAGAGCAGGGGGTGACATTCCAGATAGGGAGAATGGCATGTGCACGGGCCAGGCCAGGAAGCAGAGCGGTGGCAAACAGATTAGCAAGCCTCAAGAATGAGGCTGCGGAGGGCTGGAGGGAGCGGGGAGGAAGTCGGGGAAGGAAGGGGAGAAGGGGCAGTGCTGGGCCGCCAAGCTGGGAAAGTGGGAGAGCGTAAGGGTGGGGAGAGACTCAGCCCCACAGGCTGTGCCAGAGCCCGTCTAGCCAAGCTCCACCCAGGAGAGAAAGCTCGCTCCCCTTGCCAAGAGGCCCCACCCACCAGGGAAGGCCCTCCCCACCCTCCCTCCCTCTCTCCCACCCTCTCCCAACCCCCGCCGGAGGTAAGCCAGGACCCCCTCCAGCCAGGGCCCTGTTCATGGCCAGAGGGACAGACGGGGGCACTCCCACACCCTCCTGTAACAACAACGCAGCAGCAAAGTAATAATAGGACAATAATGACGGTATATACTACCCATCACTTACCCTCCGATAAAACCTGAAAAAGCACATCCTTAGCCTGTGACCATTCTGTTTAGTAGAATCTGCTTCTGAGAGTGAGTTATAAGATTATACAGGCTGACCCTGGGCTGACACCAGATCTCGCCTGAAGAGCCCCAGTCAGATTCTGCAGGTCCGCTCATCGGCTAAGGCATGGTTAGGTTGGGGGCTCCCGGTCTAATGCGCACCACTCCCTTTACCGATAAAGGAAACTAAGGATGCAAGGGGGAAATATCTTGCCAGAGATGACATAGTTAATTAGCCACGGGGCAGGCAGAGAACTCAGGCCTCTGGCTTCTAGGTCAGTACTCCTTCCCCAGCCTGGCGGCCCAGCCCAGAGATACCTGTGCCAGCTGAGATTATGGTCAGGGAGGCAGCCACTGGGCCATGCTGTAATCATGAGTGAGAAGAAATTTGTCTGAGTTGCAAAATGCCTTTCTGCAGCCAGCTCACGATTAGTCGCTCCAGTAGGCCCCTGCAGGGATGCTGCGGTCCTCTCCCCGGCCAGCCTGACATTCAGCCTTGCCAGATCCGCCAGCATGGTACCCGCTGTTGCCTTCCTGGCCATATCAGCTGGAGGGTGGGATCCCACTTTGCTGCAAATCTCTATGGTTCGTCTCTAGACACAGGTGCATCTGGCCCAGGAATCTCCGAGAAAGACCATGGAGAAGGTCCCAGCCTGAGCGTGAGGCCCCTCTGCCCTAAAAGGGAAGTCTGTTAGGATGTGTTTGGGCTCCGCCCGTCTTTCAGGGAGTGCAGGCCTCCAGGAGAGGAGTCAAGAGGGAGATGGGGATCGAGGGTGGCTAACCCAGGAGGCAGGAGGGCTGTCTCTGCGAATACCTTGGGATACTGTCTACGCAAGATCCTGCCGCTGTCCTCTCCATCTGCTCACGTTTACTGGGCATCCCTGGGCCGGGTCCTCGGGCACAGAGGCAGAAGAAGCACAGCCACTTCCATTCTTGTGGTTTCCTGGGGCACAGTGAGAAAAAGGCCTGGACACAGAAAGTGGCAAGAGATGCCAACTGCAGAGGAGACGACGGCTCATGGAGTGACCAGCGGTCCCATTGGAAGGGGCCTGACAGGTCAGCAGGCCCAGGGGTGGGGCAAGTGTTTGTGTGCACTGCCCACCGTGTCCTGGGTGTCTGAGGAAGCCTGGAACGGTGATTCTAGAAGTCGGTCCCCCCAGATCCCTCTCCAGCCTGGTCTGACTGGCCAAGGGTAGAAGGCCCGATGAGGCAGGGAGACAAGGTGTAGGCCAAGCCTCTCCCTTTGGCAGCTCCTGGGCTCGAGGGCATTCTCCCGGAGCTTTAGGGGGTCATTTAAAGACGGGGCAGGTGTGCTGGTGCATACCTGTAACCCCAGCTAGGGAGGAGGCTGAGGCAAGGGGATGGAAAGTTCAAACCCAGCCTGAGTAACTTAGGGAGATCCAGTCTCAAAATAGAAAAATAAAAAGGACCCGGGGTGTAGGAATCCTAGAGTTCAGTCTCCAGTACCACAAAATAAATGAAGAAAGATGTACAGAGGAATGGACAAGGGGAGTGATGCTGCCCTGGGCCTAGCAGGGACAGGAGTCAGGCTGCCCGGGGTGAAGGTTATGACGTCCCCACCGGGTGAACTGAAGCACATTATTTAACTTGGAGGAGGCCTGGTTTCCTCATCTGCCGAGGAGGGCATAAAGTGCCTGTCTGCCGTATTAGGCTATTGGGAGAGTTGCCGGGATCAGGACATGCAGTGCTCAGCACAGTGCCTGACGCACGCTGAGTTCTGTCAGGGATAGAGCTCCGATGCCAACATCAGGAATAGAAGAAAGCCTCCTGCCTCTTCTATCTCTGTCTGTGGTTCTCCATGAATTACTGTCAGTCTCAAAACAAGCACTGACCGAACTAATGCAAGCGAATCCAGTGGAGGCTATAATCTGAGCTGACCCTCCTAGAGCATGCAGGGGAGGTGGCCAGGGTGTGGAAATAGAAAAACAGGTACAACCTCCTGTCACCTCCTGAGATACTCAGGTGCTGGCTCGGAGGTGAGGGGAGCCCGGACTAGGCTGCAGGCAACACCAGAGGAACTGCAGAAAGGGCCAGGCCTCCTCTCCCAGATCCTGGCACTACACATCTGGAGTGATCTGCACATCTGGCTGCATCCCTAGGGCAATGGCCACAGCTGCTGACATTTGAGGGAGGAGCGAGGCAGCTCCTCAGCAAGGCCTGGGGGGCTATAAATAACTAGCAAAGAGGACGGGGGGATGAGGTCGACCTTTGGGGGACGGAGCTACAGGAGACTTCCCCCTCCCTCTTGGGTCCATAGCCAGAGTTTTAGCAAAACAGGAAGAGGCAGTGGCAGCTGCTGGGAAAGCCGGAGTGGCTCTCCTTCCCCCACTTGCCTGGGGCCTTCGGCTTTCAGCCAGGACCTGGGAGAGGTGGAGTCAGCTAGGCATGGAGAGGGAGGGGCAGGCCCACACAGCCTGGGCCCAGGCTCTGCTCCAGTGCCCGCCTAGGGCTCAGCTGGGGCGCAGGAAGAGGAAGAGGAGACAGAAGCCCAGGGCTACGCCTGCTGTCCCCAGTCCCGCCTGCTTGCTTTCTGTGCCCTCGTTAGTGGGACAGCAGAAAGGTTATGCGTTAGAAACGGAGCACAAAACGTGCCTGAGCCCAGGCAGTGCGCCTGGAGGCCCAGGGTCAAGGTGAGCCCACCTCCAGCTCCCACTGCGCCCTGCCTGCAGATGGGCTGAGTGCAAGCCCTAGCGGTGGGAGGAAGGACTTCAGACAGGAGGAAGGGTGTCCCTGGCCTCCTGGAGGGTCCCAGGCCAGCCCAAGGGAAATATTGGGCTCCTCCTGTAAGCTGTTGACGTGAGGCCATCCAGAGGTCTGAGTGGTCCGCAGTGACTGTTTTCCCAGATGAATGAGGCATCTGTAGGACAAACTCAGGAGAGATAAGCCCCAGCTCAGCGGGCTGCGTGAATCAAGGCTTGAAGGAATTATCCAGAGAGGCGTGTGTTGCTGTTTTGCCTGGACAAGACTGGCCACTCAGGGCCTGGAGATGTCTGCTTGGCAGAGTGGCCAGTTGGCACACACGTCCAGGGAGGTCTGCGCCTGCATCTGCTTGCCTGTCTTTGCCTCCTGCACCTGCAGGCCTGTATTTCACCTGCCTGCAGCGCCTATACCAGCACGGTTCACTAGGAGACACGCGTGCAACCTCCAGTTTCCCAGTCTCCATGCCAAAAAAGTAAAAACCAATATATAAGAGTGATTTTCATAGTACATTAACCTAATGCATCTAAAATATCATTTGGGAGGGAATTCAAAATAAAAAAGTATTAAGATCTTTTTCCTCCTTCATACTAAGTCTTTGAAATCCAGTGTGTTTTGTTTGTTTGTTTTTATACTTACAGCCCATTTCGATTCTGATTAACCACATTTCAGTGCTCAGTAACCGCACACGGCCTGGGGACTTGCGCAGGATTAGAGGATTCTAGCTTTACCCCTTCCTTTCCCCTTCTTAACGGACTGAAGAGGCTCCAGAGGTAGAGGAGGAAGGCGGTGAGGTCATTGTCAAGGGTAGGTTTGCTCGGGGAGGCTGGCTACCCATTTGGCTGTCCAGCAACTACCTCTAGACCTAGAACCATTTCTTTCCTTTTTTCCTTTCTTCTTTTCTTTCTTTTTTTTTTCTTTTTTTAGATAAGGTCTCACTATGCAGTTCAGACAGACCTCAAACTTGCGGTGATCCTCATGCCTCTGCCTACCGAGTGCTGGGATGACAAGTGTGCAGCACCACACCTGGGTTGGAATCAGTTCTTATAAATAGGCAAGCAAGGAAACTGAGTCACAGAGAAGCATCTTGGCTCACAGCTGGCCTCCTCTCCTTCCTCGGCCTCTGCCTCTGAGCTGAAGGTTGATGGAATCCTGTTTCCCCTTCACATGTGCTGGCCTCTGCGTGCCTCTATCCCCTCCTCCAAACAAGCCCAGGCCCAAAGCGATTCAGACAGCAGAGTGAGGGGAGATGGGAGG